AATAACAAAAGTAGAGGTTTGAATTTTTCTTCAGTTCCCCCAGCTTGAGAAATGCTGAGCGTGTTCTTCCTTTTTGGTTTTCTGATTCCAGATCTTTGTACATTTTGTTGTAATATTTGGCTTTATCTTCTCGGGCTGATCTTTGAAATTTTCTGTTCAGCTCTTGGACCGCCTCATCTCTTCCATCTACTTTACCATCTCTATGCTGGAGAGCAAGTTTCAGTGTAGCCTGGTGCTTACTCCACCGTCACTGGGACTCCTTAAGGCTCTAGCAATCAGCATAGCATGCTGATTCCTAGATGATCAGGCAGGCCTAGAAGATTTCAGCTAAGTTTAGGATTGGGTGGGCAGTTCTGAACTGGTGTCTCTTGGAGCCACAGTTTGCCCATCTGTAAAATGCGACTCCTCATACCACATAGTCCTCTAAGATGGGTGCACCGGCTAGGGACAGAGAAGAGGGAATTACAGGGTACCGGCAGCGCTGACCTGCCAGTGTCCCTGACAGATGCCCGTGCTGAAGCAGCTGGGTCCGGTGCAGCCCAAGAAACGACCGGAGCGAGGCGCGCTGTCCATCTCGGCGCCACTCGGTGACTTCAGGCACACGCTGCATGTGGGGCGCGGCGGCGACGCCTTTGGGGACACCTCGTTCCTGAGCCGCCACGGAGGAGGGCCGCCCCCTGAGCCCCGGGTGCTGTCCACGGGAACCCCGCGCTGCTCACCGCCGCCTGCCGTCCCACAGCCCCCCGCGCCCGCGCCTGCGCTCCGAGCGCCCGCTGACCCGCTACTGTCCTTCCACCTGGATCTGGGCCCTTCCATGCTGGACGCCGTGCTGGGCGTCATGGACGCGGGGCGCCCCGGGACCGCGGCCACCAAGCCCGACCTGGAACCCGACGCCGGGACTCAGCACCCAGCAGTCCGCCGCCCTAACGAGGACCTCCAACTGGACGAAGTCATTGGTCTGTAACCCCAACACTCTTCCCGCGCTGTACCCCATCTTTCTACATAAACGTCCGGATCTGGGGTCCTGCCTCTGTCTGCTCACTGACCCGGGGTCTGTGGTGGGGCCTGGGGAAGGGGCTGGGAGATGTGGGCCGGTGGTGGAATTCCAGGGGGGAGAGGGGATAGGGTCCGTGGGGGTGGTGATGGGTTCCGGAGGAGGGGTGATGGGAAACAGGGCGCAGTGCTGGAGGACTGTGAGGGATAGGGAATGGAGGGGTGATGGGGTCCCTGGCAGAGGTGAGTCCCGAGGAGGGCTGAGGATAGAGGGAGGGGTGATAGGCGATGTAGGAGACGGGAGGGGGTCCCAGGGGAGTGATGGGATTCTGGGGGCTGAATACTGATGAGAGTGGGGGAGGGCTGCTGGGGGCGGGATCCTAGGGAAGGGGTGATGACGTCCTGGGAGAAACTGGGGAGAGAGGGGATGAAAGACAGTAGGGGTGACGGCGTGCTTGCGCCTATAAGAGCCTCGGCAGGGATGTAGCCAGATGTGCACCACCGAAGTTCAGGTCGCCAAGGGGGCTGAGCCAGTTTCAGGTCGGAGACACTTTGAGAGGCCAGGGACTCGGCCAGGCAGGCCCCAGGGCGGAGTCATGACATGGCCGTTCCAACAGCCTCATTCGTTCATCAAACATTTACCCAGCTCGGCTTACAGCCAGCTGGGCCTTCGGGGCCTGAGTCCCGCGTCTCAGGTGGAACCGATCCGGGTGGAAGGTGTGCCGCGGAATGAAGCGACAAAGTCCCAAGTCTGAGGTTCACTCGGAGTCCGAAGCGTTAGGTTCGCCCGGGCGACAGAGGAGGGCGCTGCCGAGCTCGCCAGGTTTCAGGGGCAGGGCCACATATGTAAATAATGTTGCGTGGGCGGGGTCACGCGTAAACTAGCAGCCCCTGGGGACAGGGTCAGACTACCTCGGTTTACAGCACCTGGAGCGCCACACGGGGCGGGGCCCAGTAACCAAACACTTGACTGTGGACCTGGCCAGGTTCTTTAGAGCTTGTGGGGACTACTTGGTCTACAGGGATCGGAGTTTGGTTTCTAGGCAACTGCGGAGGCAGCGAGTCGCAGGAAGCCCCAGAGAGGCGTGGTCTCACATGTAAATCTACTGGACCCTGAAAGGGCGGCATCAGCCTCCTAGAAAAGTTCTTCAATCTCATTAGGGGAGGAACATAGTCTTGGGACTCTTTCCCCCCGCCACCCCCAGGGCGTGGTTTCCCCGAGGGCGTAGCTTCTCCAAGGCCAGAGCAGATTCCTCCACAGCGCTGGGAAACGTTTCCCCGGGGGCGTGGTTCTCCCAAAGGCAAGGCTCCCAGAGGCGGGGCGGGGAGCTTAACTCAAATCACAGTACGTCTCCTGACGTAGGTCAGACCCAACAGGATCGCCGCTCGGGACGCTATGGCAGCAGCCGAAGAGGAGGAGCGATCCCCGGGGGCCCTGCCGGCCTGCCCCTTCTTCCTGGAGGGCCGTTGCCGTTTTGGCGCGCGCTGCCGCCAGCCGCACCCGGGGGCACCGACGCCAGCAAAACCCGGGGGTGCGGCCCAGGCCGAGGCCGGGGCCAAGAAACCGCCGCTGCGTACGGCTGGAGCCGTAATCCAGCGTATACGCTGGGACCCGCGTCTCGACCCGGCCGACTTTTCTGTGGGCTACGCCGACCGTTTCCTGGGCGTGCGTGAGGAGCCCTTCACTGCTTTCTGCTGGGACGCGCCCCTGGCGGCGCTTGGACCCGGCGTCCTGGCCATCCCGGAGCACCGAGTGCGCTACTTCCGCTTCCGTGGCCGCCTAGTCTGGGACCGCGCCTCCCGCACCGACCGCGTCTTCGGCTCCGGCCAGGCTACAGGTCGTGGGCCCACCATCTTAGAAGCGCTCGGCGGGGAAGCGCCGGACGAAGACGCAGTTGACAGACTCAATGAGACCATGCCAGCCTTGGCCAAGCTCGGTGGCTTAGAGGACGAGGATGGGACCTTGGCGTTGGCGGAGTCAGGTCTGGAGGTAGCATTAGCAACAACTCCAGAGGAAAGACAGGCCACGACAGAGCTGGTCACAGCCGGGAGCCGGGGGTCACAGTGGAGAGCGCCAGAGGCCTCATCCACCCCTAAGTCAGCCGAAGACCCGACGCTGACGCTGGCAACAGAGACTGCGGCAACCCCAGAACTGTCCTTGGGTGCCGACGTCACCCCTGAGAGGAGGCCCGCCGGGGAAGCACAGGTGGAATGGGGTTCCGGGGCCTGGTGTACGGATCAAGGCGACAGGAGCATGAGCAGAGCCGTGGACTGCCGCCAACCCCGCCCCACGCATTTCGTGGCCCTTATGGTGACTGAACCTGGACTGCTAGCCGAAGTGACCCGGGTCCAGACACAGTTAACCCAAGTGTCCCCGGCCTGTGCCGATTTCATGGTGCCCTCCCAGGCCCTGCACCTAACCGTGGCTCTACTGCGCCTGGCTGGGCCCGGGGAGGAGGCAGCAGCCGTCCGGGCTCTGAGTCAGGCCCTCTCCCATCCAGGCCTGCGAGCACCCCCCGAGCTGAGGTTCAGGGACCTGGTGCTCCTTGGCCCCCACGTGCTGTGTGCACCCCCTTGCCCCACACTGGAAAGCATGGCCCAGGTGCTGGGCGAGCGACTGGAGGCCGAGGGACTACGTGTGTTACGGCTCCCAGAAGGCCGAGGCCCCCACCTCACACTGGCCAAGGTGCCCCGAGGCTCCCCAGTGCACCTCCCGGAGCCTGGGCTCAGCCTGAAGCAGGAGCTGGGCAGCCAGCCCGTGGGGAGGCTCTGGCTGTGCAGAGTGGGGAGGGTGGGGAACACCTACCAGGCGCTGGCAGAGGTCCCCCTGAGGTGACGCTTCCAGACCAGCTGCCAGGGTCTAGCAAGATAAAGCCATCAACAAGCCTAGGACAACCTGGGCCCCACCAGGACCCACGCAGTCTGCATACTCTCTCTCTCTCTCCTTTTTAATTTTGGTTTCTCTCAAGATTCCAAATGGTGCTCAGTGCTCCAAAGAAAGAAGGAAGGGAGGGAGGGAAGGGAGAGGCGGGGAAGGGGAGGCACGGAGGAAGAAAGCAGCCTGACAGTCCAGCTGTTTGTCAACTTGCTCGTCATCCAGTTACATGGCAGGAGGGGGAGGGGCCGAAAGAAGGGAGGGAGAAAAAGAACTTAAATAAACACACAGAAAAGGAAAGGAGAAGGACAAATGGTGTGAGCTGGTGAATCCATGGAGGTGGGGAGGGAGGGGAGGGAGCGGCTTTACCTGTGCTGAACCAAGGGGGGGGAGAAGGAGGGCAGGTGGGAGGGAGGGTGGGAAAGGGGGAGGAAAAAAACCAGAAGAAACATTGGGGGTAGAGGGAGGAAGGGACACGAAGACAACTTAATACAACTTGAGACGAGGCAGGTCCGGCCGGCGAGGTCCCGCGGTGGCCTCCGGAGTCCTCAGTGCTGGGTGGCGGCGGTGGGTCGGCCGTGGCAGTGGCATTTCTGGGGAGGGGGCCAAGGGCACAGTCTCTAAGTGGCTCCCCTCAGCCCACACACTGAGGGCCCCGAATGACTGGGCAACAAGAGTCTGTGAGGAGTGGCAGGCGAGGTGGCGGTGGGCAACTTGGTGGGCGCCCCACCGCAGGCGGGCTGGCATGGCTGGACGGATGGCCTGTCTTCCTTCGGCTGGCCCCCCTGACGTGGGACGGGCCAGCTCAGGTACCGGCGGAGTATGAGCTCGAGAGAGAGAGAGAAAAAATACTGAGACAGCATTAGTGGAGGTGAAAAGTGGACTCGGATGACCCCAAGATCCCGCTGCCCTCCCAACATCCCCATCCCTCTGAGGCAAAAATAAAAATGTAGAAAAGCATCTCTGTACAGGTGCCCTGGTGGGAACACAGGGCCAGGGCCAGTGGCTCAGCCTGGAGCACACACAGCCATCAATTAATTTACAACCCAGGTCCACGGCTCAACAACGAGAAGCGCAGAGGCCTGCCCCCGCCCGCCCGCCCGCCCGCCCCGTCCACGCTGCGTGCTCAGAAGGCTGACAGCTGCGCCAGGCTGAGGCGACAGTCGATGGTGGCGTTGTCCGGGCCCGTGTAGGCCAGGCCCAGGGGCTCTAGGAAGGCCCGGCAGGGGGCCTCGCCCTCGAAGGCCAACTCGGCCTGCAGGTAGGAGACGGGCAGCACCGGGCGGAAGCTACGGAGACAAGAGGAGAGAGCGATGAGGCGGGCGGCGAACAGGGAGGGCCCCACGGCAGGGAGTGGGCACCCCCCAGTCAGTCAGGCACCCTGAGGGTCTCGGCGGCAGCGGTGACACATACTTTGCAAACTCCTCGACCCCCTGCCAGCCTCCCCCATCCCCAGATGTGCCCCCCTTCACTCCCACTTACCTGTGTGGGGAAGGTAACAGGAAAGGGGACAGGAGGGGGAGGGCCCAGCTGACTCCTCCAATGGATGGCTGGGCAGCCGCTCAGGAGAGGGCCACCCTGGCAGAGGCACGGGGCAGCCAGGCTCGGGGACATTAAGACTGAGCCCCAGCTGCGGGTCCGGCCCTCACTGCCTTCGGGAAAGCCTCACGTCACTAACTGGACTCTTGTCACCGACCAGCCAAGCACCTGAGTGACAGCAAGTCACTGGGCCCCTACAGGCTGTCACCCTGCCTGGGGACACGAGGAATGGGGGCCACAAAGCCACTGCCAAGATCAGAAGACCCGGCCTGCACATCTGAGTGGCCATCAGAGGCCACCACCCACCCTGAGGAAGATGAAGGTGTGAACCTGGCCACATGCCCTGGAAAGGGCTCCCAGCTCTCAGAATGCAAATTCCAAAAGGCCCAGGACAGCCTTCCTTCCTCCTAAGTCCCCAGGGCCGGGTCATCACCCCATGGCCACTGTGCCCTCCTCTCTCCCAGCCTCGCTGTCCCTGGGCCCCACACCATTCGGTGGCTCCCTCGTACCATCACAGGCAAGGCCAAGTGGACCTACCAGCCGCAAGGTGTGTCACCCTCAGCTCAACTGACACTGTGGGGAGCCTGTCCTGTGAGGGCCCAACTGTAACAGCCCAGACTCTTCCAGACAGGGCCTGAGTCCCCATCTCAATGGCAGCAGACCCCCTTGTCCCCTGTGGACACACCATGGGCCACATTCAACTTGTCAGGACAGGGCAGGCCCAGCCAATAGGTGGTCTTGGAGCCCCCTTCACAACCCCCACATTACACCCATTTCTCTCCAACCACACGTGGCAAGTCAAAGGCTCAGACGTGCAGCCCTGAACCGTCAAACCAGAGCTGCCCAGAGCATGGCCCATCTTCCCGGGCCTGCCTGCCCGGGGACAGCGACGGAGCAGCAGTGGGAGGTGGACACGCAGCGAGGGCACCACGAGCCCAAGGGGAGGAGAGAATGAAGAGGCTGACAGGAATAGGACACGGGGGCTGGAGAGAGGTGTGAATGTCGACGAGGGACGCACAGACAGACCCAGAAGCAGGAGCAGAAAGACAGAGACACCAACAGAGGATGGGGCTGGAGAGAGCACGCATGGGGGCGCTGGGGGCAGACGTGAGGACTCAGAGAGGAGGTCCGGGGATGGCGGAGGGTGGGGGCAGGGCCCAAGAGTGGACAGGCAGGCGTGCTCGGCAGGCGGCACATACGTTTTGATCATTGCCTTGAGGGCTGCCCTGCGCTCTCGGTCTGCGAACTTGTCCACGAGGTAGCCGGACATGCAGGGCGCGTGGCAGTGGAGCCGGAAGAAGCGATGGTAGTTGCCCAGAGCCCAGGCTGCCCTCAGCGCCAAGGCATGAGCTACACATGGGTCTGCCTTCAGCTCCCGCGTCAGGTACGCCAGCTCAGTGGTGATGTCTGGAGCCCAGGAAGAGGGGGGCGAGGTCAGAGGTGTGGCTGGGGGACCATGGTGTCCCCTGCCGAGCGGCGGCCAGCCTCTCACCTCCTGAGTTCTTGGTGAAGATGTAGTAGAGGATCCGGTAGGCGGTGAACTCGCCCACGTTGCCCGGCAGGTTCTCAGCATAGAGCGACTTGAGCTGCGTTTGGCACTGGTTGAACTCTTCGTGGTCCCCCTGGAAGGCAGGGACACAGATGCAAAGAGCCAAGTGAGGCCGAGCGAGAGCAGGGAGGGCACCAGGAGGGAGCAGGGAGCTTCCCATCAGCCCACTCACCTTCTCCAGGGCAATGCGCGCATGCGTCTCATATACCTCCACTGTGAACTCTGTGCGGACACCTTGGACCTGGAATGGGGTGGGGTGGGGTGGTCAAGGAGAGGGAGTCAGGCCAGAGCAGAGCGAGTGCCCTCCCAGCCTGCTCCCAGCCCTGCCTCACCGTCAGATCCTGCCGGATGGACTTCATCTGCTCACAGGCAAACGCGTAGTCCTGTTTCTCCTTCCAGTGGGACTTGACCATGGCCAGCGACTTCTTCAACACCTGCCCGGGGAATCAGAGAACAGCTCAGACAGGGCGAGCAGGATGCAGGGCCTCGCCACAGCAGACTGACCCCCGCAGACACTCACGGGCACGGGGCGCACGGTGGAGGGATCAGGGGCGCAGGTGAGCCGCAGGTAGTGCTTGGTGATGTCAGGACACGTCCCGACGATCTGCAGCTCCTGCCAGTCGGGGTCCGCCCCGCCACTGTCCAGACTGCCCATTTGCAGCACCAGCGGCTCCAGGCGCAGGCGGCGAGCGTGGCCGTGCTGGAAGCGAGCCGCTCGCTTCTGCTTCTTGAGCTCTCGCTCAGGGTCCTCGCACTCCAGGGCCGCCATCTTCTTCCGGCTGCGCTTGGTAGGGGCGAGGTCGTGCCTAGGAGGCAGTGAGTGAGTGGCCCAGGTCTCCCTCTGCCCGCCAACCTCACCCCTGGAGAAGGTAACCATCCTGGAGCCCCCGTCCCCAAGTGTGCTACCTCTTCCCACGCTGTGCCCGGCCACGGCCCCGATCCATGTGGGCACCTCTGCCGCCGCGGCCCTTGGGGGTTGGGTTCCTGCGGCCCACGGGGTGGCAATCGTTCCCTGAGTAGGAGCTGTCCGAGTCTGAATGGGAGTCACTGCATGGGAAAGGGAGGAGTCAGCTCACCCTGAAGGACCCCCACCCCACCCCACCCCACCCCATCTCACCCCACCCCAGGTACCTCCGGCGGAAGTGGCGGGTAGGGGAGCGGGAGGAGGAGCGGGAGCGGGACTCAGTGCTGGAAGAGGAGCTATTGTCCTTCATGAAGACATTGCGGTTGCCAAACTTGGCGAAGCTGCTGCCCCGGGCACGGCCGGCCCCCCCAGCCCCCGGTGTCCCACGCTGCGACTGGGTGCCCCCGCCCCTGGGCGCAGAACCTGCCCCCCGTGGAGGGTGAAGGCCACTAGGGGCCTCCCATCGCTTCTTCTTGGGGCTCTCTGCCACGGGCTCCCGGGTCAGCCTGAGGTGAACAGGGAAGAGCGTTAGCAGCCCCGCTCCCACCTGGCCAGAGCGCAGACAGCCAGCGGCAGGCCCTCCCAGCCCCGACGCACCCTGGCAGTGGCTCCCGGCTCCAGTCGATGGTGTAGGCCGAGCCGTCCTGGAGCCGGGCCTGCAGCACCTCCTTGAGCAGCTTCTCGGTGCGGTCCTTGTCCTCCTCTGACTCGCAGGCGGTGAAGCAGCGCTCCACATATTCCTTCATGTCCTGGGGCCAGTCATCCGGCTTTCCTGACAGGCTCCCCCGGGACGAGGGCCCGCTGTGGACGGGGCAGGCAGGGGCCTCAGCTGCATTCTCCATGGCCCCGAGGGCCAATCGCCACCCTGACACCCCCAGGAGCAGATGAAGCTCAGGCCCCGAGGCTGCACACTACAGGAGTCCTGACCGCTGACCAGGCTGTGTTAGGGGTAGAAATGCTCACCACCACCAAGAAAGAAGAGGCGCAGTGAAGCGCCAGACTTCTGTGCCCAGGGTCCCAATACAGAGAGCCATCGAGACACCGAGGGTTCCAACAGCACTGGCTACAGACACTGACAGGAACAAGGGTCTGCACCCCCCTTCCCTCCCCGATGACTGAAGAAAGCTCTCTTGTAGAGCTATGAGCCTGCACTCAGACCTCTGCCTCCCTGAACCGCAAGGGAATGAAGTTCCGCTGTGAAAGCCACCCCGGGGGCTGGCCGGGCGTGGGCAGCAGGTGTCCAGCACAGAGGCTGGGGGACAGGGAAGGACTGGGATGTCACCTGTGGTTCGGGACTTTCTCGGTGTTGGGCTGGGGGCCGAAGTTGCCATGCTGCCCCTCGGAGCTGGGACTAAAGTTCTGCTTGGTGACAGCAAAGGGTCGCTTCTGAATGTTGAACTTGAGACCACCAGTCCCAGGGGCCGCTGAAAGGGCAGTGAGAGCTGGAATCAGGCCCGTCCCTGCACACCTGGGGCCCCCAAAAGGGAGCTTCTCTGAGCCCTCCTCCCCAGCCCCCGAACATCCGTGAGCTCACTCAGCTCCCACAGAGCTCCCCACGCCCTCCCCCTAACTTACGCTTCATGCGACCCCACAGCTGCTGGCCCTTCTTGGGCTTGGCCGGTTCCAAGTAGCTGTGCTGCGCATAGACCTGTCCCGATGGTGCCCCCGCCTGGCCATGCTGTGTGGCTGGCACTGTCCCTGGCTGGGGGCCACTGCTCAGAGGGTGGGCCCCATGCTGGGGGTTGGCGGCCTGAGGGGGCTGGCTGGGCAGCTGCTGTGGGGAAGCCTGGTACGACATGCTGTCATCCATGCCGGGGACTGGGGGCTGCAGGAGGAAGCCCAGACTGAAGGCAGGAGGCAGCTATGGTGTCACACGCCACCTCCCCAGCCCCACCCAAGCCACCGAGACCAGAGTCCTCGGCGTGGACAGCCCTGCCAGTCAGCACCACGAGACCTGGGATACCACCGGAAGCTAGGACGGGAACCCAGGCCCTATCTGCAGAGTTCATTTTAAATACAAGGCAGGGTTATGTGTGTGTCTTGAGGAAAAGAGGGAAAAGACAGGACAAATCGCTCCCAGCCCGGGCCCTGTCCAGGCCAGACTCCCCTCCAGGTTTCAGAAACTATGCTTTGCTGTCCTCGCTGTCAGATCCGGGGTTGTTTGGCAAGAAAGGAGAATAGCTTAAGACTACAGGAAGTGCCCTATGGCTGGCCCGGCTGGAGCAGGAAAGGGCATGGAGTACGTGGCCTTACCTGGTTCAGGGTCCCCTGGTGCTGTGGTGCCGAGGGCTGCTGCGGCGTTGCAGAGCCGTAGGAGTTGGCCATGCCGTACTGGGAAGGGGAGCTGTAGCCCTGGTACATGCTCTGCTGAAGGCACAGAAAGCAAGGTTCAGGCTGCTGGGCCCATCCCAGGCTGCTCCCTGCTTATGCCTCCAGTCTCCAGCACACTTCCCGGGTTCTCTCCCGCAGCCCCACTCTAACTAGGTCCCAGGAAAATTCTCCATCTGACACATTTACTCAGGACGCACTCTCCTAAACGTTCTGACAGGACAACATCCCCAGGGAGAGCCTTGTTCTAAAGCAGAGGCAGGTGCACAGACAGACTTGTACCAAGCCCGGCAACAGGGCCTCCCCCATGAGGAGGAGAGAGGCCGCTGTGCTGGGGCCTGGGCCGGGCAGGAGGCGGCACTGCTGAGCAGAAGCCTCTCCGCTCAGGGGAACGGGGTGCAGGGGAGGAGGTCTCTGGGCCCGGGGCGGGGTGTGGGTGTGGGCACTCACCATGGGGTAGTAGTAGCTGTAGGGGTAAGCATAGTTGTACTGCTGGTACCACTGGTAGTACTGCTGCTGCTGCAATGCCGAGGCCTCCGCCTGGGACACGTACTGAGGGAAGGCAGGCCATCAGGGCAGGCAGCAGGGACACAGACCTGTCCCCTTACCGGGCCCTGGGGTCCTTGGAGACACGGACCCCAGTACCGCTTTCTCTGTCCCCTCAGAGCACCCCCACCACACCAACACCAAGTTGTTGGGTCCCACGCACTGTTCAGGACGCCCCAGCCCGGGGGCCTTCTCACCTGGGCACTGGCCACAGGCCCGCTGCTGCTGGCCTTGGCGGAGCTGCCAGCGGCGCCCGCTTTGCTGATGCTGGCCAGGGCCTGGCGGGCCTTCTCCCACTCGGGGTTCTCGTGCATGGGGGCCTCCATGCCGTTCTCTCTTCCGGCTCCGGCCACCATACTGTACTGAGAGGACCTGCAAAGAGCGGGACGCCCAGTCAGCCTGGCCTGCCATGCTGGCTACAACTCCCACTGGTGGGCACAGTTCCGAGCTCTGTACCGTAAGGGACCTAATTAAACTACCCCACAGAACTACCAGCAGTCTCAGATTTTACCACAGGGCCAGGCACCTCATCTAGAAACCACCACAGTGCCTTCAAGTGGGCGCCAGCTCCGGGGCGATCCCACCGGCTAGAGAGTCAGGGAGGGCCTGGGAGATTAGCACTGTGCTGTGAGAAAGGGGAGCCTTCCCACTCCCCCACGGAACATCCCGGGGCCTCCTTCCCCTTCCCCTTCCTGCCAGCCCCACTAACCAATCTGTGCTTCGTTGATCACCCACATTGGCCGCCATCTGGACCTTGGGGTACGAGGGATGGACCTCGGGAGCCAGACTGCTTTCTCACTGTCTGTGTGAGAGAGTGCGTTAGAAAGACCCGCGGAGGAGCTAGTGGGAGCACGTGCTGGAGCGAGTGTGGAGAAGCGCCAAAACTCCTACGAGGACAGCAGAGAAGGGGAGTAAGGGAAAGGAGGGGCTGACTTCAGAGGACTCTCAGGGATGCCGGGGGGGGGAGAAGGTCAGAGACAGAGGTCTGAAGGGGGTGCCTTCAGATGAAGAAGGGGAACCCCGAGTGAGAAGCTACTGGCAATGGCCTGAGCACAGCCAGCGGAGGGCTTCGGATGCCCGTGACCCATCAGGACCGAGTCCAGCTGCCTCATAGGCTTCCCAGGTTGTCATCTGCACACAAACACACCCGCAGATGGTAGGTTCAAACTACCAACCAAGAGCTTAACCACTGTGCCACCAGAGCTCAGTCACGGTACGTTGCTGTTAAGTGCCTTAAGTCGGTTCCAACTCATAACGACCCTATATAGGGCTTCCAAAGGAGCTCTGGTAGCATAGCGGTTACGAATCAGGCTGCGAACCTTAAGGTCAGCAGTTCAAAACTAGCAGCTGTTCTGCGGGAAAGATGAGGCTTTCTGCTTCTGCTCCCTTAAGATTTACGGCCTCGGAAACCCTGTACAGGGTCGCTATGAGTCGGTTCCAACTCCACGGCACATCACCACCACCATAGGGTTTCCAAGGAGCAGCTGGTGGGTTTAAGCTGCAGACCTTGTGGTTCACAGCCCAGTGCTGATCCTACAGTGCCACATTGTAGGATGTAAAACAAATCCCAGCAAGAAAGACGTGCTCTGACGTAAACACAAGTTGTTGTTAGGGTTAGGTGCCATTGAGTCGGTACCGACTCGTAGCGACCTTATGCACAGTAGAATGAAACACTGCCCGATCCTGGGCCAACCTCACTATTGTTGTCACGCTTGAGCCCACTGATGGTGCCACTTGGCCAATCCGTCTTGCTGGGGGTTAGGGTTAGAGTGGACTCTAATCAGCCAAGTCTGAGGAAAGCCCTCAAGGCTGGTAGCTGGAAAAGATTTCTGGGGGACTTTTGTACACAGGGAAACAAGCCTCAAGAAGCCAGTGGGGTCTGGGATGCAGCTAACACTGGAGTGTAAAGAGGGTTCTAAGAGAAAGAGAGGCTTTCTAGATCTGGGAGAAGGCTGTCTGAAGGGAACCCCACGGGAATGAGTTCTAGGAATTTCAAAAAGGATTCCAAAAGATTCCCGTAGGCCAAGAAAACTTCCTAGAGACAGGTGGGGTCCTAAGAGCCACAGTCCTGGGGGTGGGGGACCAAGTCTGGGGGATTGAGATATAGTCTTCTTGGAGTTTGGGGATCTGGGGGATCAAGCCTTGGGGAATAAGACATAGTCCTCTGGAGGTGAGGATGGAAGAACAGGGGGATCAAGCCTTGGGGAGGCCTAAGGTTAAAGCACTTGGCTGCTCATGAGATGGTCAATGGTTGGAGCATAGAGCTGCTACACAGAACAGGAACCAGATGAGACAGTGTGCTTCCAGAGACGGGAAGCTTCAGAAAGCCTAAGCTTTTCTTTCGGACTCTCCGGTCCTGTAGGGTCACTGCTCAGAAGCAACCGGATGGCAGCGAACTGCGGTTTTTTGGAGACATAAAGGGTTAGATGTGTAGCTATTCGCCTCCCGGTGGGCAGGAGGAAGCCCACACCCTTGGCACACAGAGGCTTTCTGAGTCAGAATGTACACTATGACAATCAACAATAACAAACCCAGCAGTCCCAAAGAGTTCTCAGTAATGAGAGCAAGGTGCAAAGGACTAAAGAAAAGTGAAGGGGTGTTTGGAGGGTGGATGGGGGGTGCACCAGGGGCCTGCGCAAAGTCCCTGCAAGAACTCCACCGGAGGGGAGAAAAAAAGATAACCCACCCACCGTCCTCCCGTGTAGCACTGTAAGGTCAGCACTGGACTGTGAACTACCCGGTCCGGGTTCAAACCCACCAGCTGTTCCCTGGAAAGCCTATACAGGGTCGCTATGAGAACCCATTCCATTCATCTGCAACAGCTAAGTCTGTAGGACAGAAAGGAACGGTTCCATTGGGTTTCCCAACCTGTATATCTTTAGGAAAGCGGGTGGGCTTGAATCGCTGATGAGCCCTTAACCACTGCGCCACCAGGGCGCTCCTTCTCCAAGTATGAACTTGGGGGTGGGGTGGGGGTACGACCCCCAGCAGCTCCATTCTGATTGCCGGAACAGCTAAAACTTGCTCTGTAGGAGAAACCATTACAAGAACATCTTGTGGATTTGAACCGCTGACCCTTTCGGCTGTTCTTGTTAAGTGCCATAGAGTCGGTTCCGATTCAGAGAAACCGTGTATAGGCTTCCAATATGGATCCAAGACTCCTTTCGGTTAACAGAGAATCCCGAAAAGCAGCGGAAAGTCTGGGGCAAGTGAAGGAAGGAAAGGTGTAAACGAGGAAGCAGGCTCTTAATGCCGATCACTGGTCGGTGGGGGAACCCGGAGGCAGAAAAGAGTGGAGGAGAGGATATGGGGGGCGGGGGGGCGAGGCTCGGCTCGGCTCAGCACCTGGCTTCACCTGACCGTGCCGTAGGTTAGTACGACCTAAGAGGACACAGGAAGGTGGAAGGCACCATTCGCAGGCCCCGCACCACCGCCCTGATTGCGCCGCGCATGCGCACCACATCCCCGAGGAAGCGGCCAACCCGCGGGCCTCGAGTCTCCCCAGGCAACGCCGAATCGCCGTAGAACCGCCTGGTCAAAGTAGGGTGCGTGGAATTCCGCGCCCAGGGAATTCCAGGAAAAGCGGGGGGGCGGGGAGCAGGAACGACGAGCATGCGCGCTAAATCGCGCCCCCCGCGCCGACGCACATGCGTAGTGGCGGACCCAGGGCCTCCAAACCACCGCGACGCTTGCGCGAGTCGGCCGTTGGTACGAGCAGGCCTTGGGGCCTGCAGCTCGTCCAACCGAAAAGAGGTGGCCTCCCCTGCCGCCCTCCGCCGTTCATCGTACCAGCCTCGGCCGTTCGTTGTCGGTACGCGCCAGCAGCGGCCCGAGGCGACGTCAACACGGCTGCGGGACTGCACGGCGAGCCGGCTAGCTCTCGTCTTCCTCGGACTTCGATGTCCTATCTGCGGCGTCCTGACGTCAAGCGGAGGCCTCGCCCCGCATTCCTCGCTCCGACGCAGCCAATAGGCGCCGAATTGAACCCGCCCCCGCTTACGCATATCCGGCCTTGGACGTTTTCAGGCAAACCGGAAGACAGGGTGGAGACGGTGGCCTCAAGGGGACACGTTTTCCTGGTTAGAAATTAACGGGCTCAAGTCTTTTTGGCGCCACCGTTTTAGAACTGAACCTGGAATAGCCATGATTATCCTTGTAAATTACTAGTACACTGGTGTCAGGAAAGGTGACAGACTATGCACAGTATAATCATGTGGACAGAAAGATCACTTCAAAGGAAAGAGATGAGGAACTGCCTCTAGCCTGAGAAGGGAACGTCGCTAGGAGAGAAAACTAGAATGGCGCACCCGGCAGGGAAACATCGGGATCGAACATGAAAAGGCAGGAAACGGCTTTGAGGAGGAAGGAGGCAGAAGACTACGGAGGGTGTGGATTCCTGGCGTGGAGATGTCCCGAGGGGACCATCCCTGACCTGGAGTTTTCCTCAGGGTTCTTGTCTTCTACTGACCAAGAATGACCAGAAGAAGCGCAGAAGTTCCACTCGAACAAAACTTTATAAAGCAAAATTAAAAGAGAGCTTGCGAGGGAGACAGGGTCCAGGCAATGCTAGCCTCTGTCTCCCCAAACAAAAGCTTAGTTGGGATATTGTTGTTGTGTTGTTGTGAAGTGCTGTCGAGTCGATTCCGACCCATAGCGATCCTGTATGGAATTTCCGAGGAGCAGCTGGTGAGCTTGAACCGCTGACCTCGCGCTTCAATCTGGCGCATTAACCCACAGGTCCACCCCAGGACTCCTTAATTGGGCTATTAAGGGGTAAAGATCTCATGTTTATTCATCATAACTCTGAAGGGAGAGGGAAGCTTGGCCAGGAAAGGATTGGGTTTTGTTAACAAGGGTGTGTTCACAGCTGTTTTTCAAGATGGAGTCACTTTGGCCACGGACTGTCATAACTGCACATGCGCGCACGCTTCAGACGGCCGCTTTTTGCCTTTGTCATCTGCGCATGCTTGGCGCCTGTTACTTCCTCAACACAAGTTTTTAATGAGACGGTCAGGTGTCAAGTAGGTGGATGGGATGACAACTTCCGGGATGTGGTTATCTTCTGGAGCATCTAGCCCTTGTAGCTTTTTCACAGCTAGGTTAGTCAGCTGTTGTTGTTTTTCGAGTTAAGTACTCTTGAGTTTCCAAGGAGCAGCTGGTCAACTGCTGGCCTGTGACTAACAGTCCAGTGCTTGTCATGTAGCTTATCCTGTAGTCTCCTGTAGAGACTAGTCAGCTGTTGTTGTTGTTGTTGTTAGGTGTCATCAAGTCGGTACCGACCCATAGGGACCTTATGCACAGCAGAACAAAACACTGCCCGATCCTGGTACAATTTCACTACCGTTGACACGCTGGAGTCCATCGATGCTGCCACTTGGCCAATCCATCTCGCTGGGGGTCTTCCTCTTTTTCTCTGGCCCTCCACCTTCCCAAACATGATGTCCTTCTCCAGGGACTGGTCCCTCCTGACAATCTGTCCGAAGTATGAGAGACGAAGCTTGGCCATCCTGGCCTCCAGGGGGCGCTCTGGCTGCACTTAAATATAAAAAGAGACTCTCCTTTTAGAATCACGGCCTAACTCAGCAACTCCGTAGGACAAAGTGACACTACTTCACAGGTTTCCGAGACTGCAAATCTTCACGGAAGCCCGAAAGCCTCATCTTTCTGCAGTGAAAGTGTACCTGCTAGTGGATTCGAACTACCGACCTTTCCGTTACCAGCCCAATGCTCAGCCCACAGCGTCACCA